GCTCTCAATTTATAGGACATGAATTTGGGTTAAAAAGACCATTCTATCCTCTTGTTTAAGGACTAAGGAAAATAATAAATATCTAGATATTTTGTTTTCCACTAATTTGCTCAAATAAATAATAAAATAAACAATAAAAATGTTTATTTTAAGATATTTATAGATATTTATTTGCTCAAATAAATAATAAAGATTCAAATAACTAATAAATATTCAAATATGCTAAAAAAAATAAAGTGTATGAATTAATTTAGAAACTAGGAGGTAAAATAAATAAAAACCAAGTTCTAGGGTATTTCCAATTATAAAGTGGTGTTTTAGGATTTAATTATGATAATATACGGGAAAATTATTCTTTATTTGGCCATTTTGTAGACTTTTACGAAACTAGGGGCTAAAATGCTATTAACCTAAGTCTCAAGGCTTCACGTGTAATTATCAAAATTAGGATCTCTACAATATCTATCCCTTGACGGAATAAGGCTGTTATGGTTACTTATATTAATCCAATATGAATATATTGAATCTCAGGATATTTCTTTTTCCATCTTGCAACCTTTTTCTTATCAAAAAAAGGAATATCAATATTTCCTTCTTTTGACCATTTTGTTTTAGTGTTACCGCTGTATTGTTCAAACACTCTTGTTGAAAAGAAGTTGAATTTTGAAAATTTGTAAATTTCTAGGACATCAACTTCTAGCATTTTTTTCGAATTTTGCTAATTCTTCTTCAGTAAAAGTTTTTTCTTCTCTGATTACATCTCCAAGTTGAATTGTTTGTAATTCCTCTTGAGATATTCTTTCTGCTTCTTGAGATATTTCTTGACTATTTAAATTAGTCATCATGAAGATTAGTTCTTCATCTGAACTTTCTTCATCACTAAAAATTTCGTACACGATTTCTTCTTCATCGGAAATATCTTTGCCATATATTATTTCAAAATCTTGCTCTTCAAGAACTTTGATCATTTTCTTTGCACTTTTTCCCTTTTTTGGACATTCGAGTGCATAGTGACACTCTTCGTTACAAATGTAGCATTTACAAGTTTTTTTTTTTTGAAACACTTGTTGGTTTCTTTTTTAAAAAAGTTTTGTTCATTTTCCAAGGTTTCCATTTGTACTTTCTGCGTTTTTTGAAAAATCCTTTTCACTTGGGAAATGTATTACAACCAATTTTCCAATTTTCTTTCAAAATTTTATCACAATAATTTGACCATATTGTGAGTTGGAAATTTGATTTTTTATTTGTTTTTTCACTTTTGCTTTTAGACACTGATTTGCTATCAGTCTTAGAACATAATTAATGCGAAGACCAAAATTATCACATTCTTCTTTTCCCATTTTTTTGAGAAAGTCAGGATATGTTTTAATACATAACTCATCCCATGGATTAGAGAGTTTATAGAAAAACTGATTTAATCAGTGTTGATTTGCTGGTGGATTAATAAGATAATAATATTTTTTAAAAGTTTGAACATAGTATTCAAAAAGACAAATATTAAATAATTCTAATTTAGTCAAAATATAAGTATCTCTTGCAAAACCACATAAATTTTCTTTTATGATTTTTACAAACTCAACTAATATTGTATCAAGTGTGAGAAAATTTGCCAACAAAGCTTTTTTTTGACTTTTTCCAATTTCAATTTTTTCTTACTGTCTTAACCATTGCAACACATCTCCCTGGAGGATTGCTACAATATAATCAATGATTTTTTTCCTTTAACCAACTATTTTTATAATTGGTAATAATGATTGTACCCAATCATCAATTGCTTGTGGTTGATCCTTAAATAGAACATGAGACAAGTCTAAATAAGTACTATTTTGAGCTATTGAATACTTATGATTATTATCTTTTCTAGATATTATTGGCTCAGGTGTAAGATTGGATTGGAGTTACTTCCTGTGTTAGTATCATTTTTAACTTCATTTATTTGAATAAAGTCAAAATTTTCTCCATCTCCCTATGTGCCAAACAATTTGGGATCAAGTGGCTCTACTGTATTTCTTTTCCCCTTATTTATTTCTAGTGAAACATCTTGATCTAATGTTTCTTTAGATGAGGATGCTTGGCTATCATCATCATTAGTTGACATATTAATATCATAATTAAAGTGTTGTAAAAACGCTTCATGTTTTAGATAAGTTTCTCTTATTTGATTTAGTAGCCTATTTCTTTCATCAATACCTAAATCTGAATCTTTATATAATTTTCCCAAATAATCCAATATTTCAACAATATTTTCATATTCAGTCCTATTATAGGTATAGGTTTAAAGTACCAGAATATCTCTGTACCATAAAATAGCCTAAGAAGGCAAAGCTGCTGCCAAAGATAGCTAACCAGCAAGTCACCATTTGAAGGTTTCTGTGGAGCAAAAATGTTAGAGATTCTAAAAGTTTTATCAAAATTTTTATCAAATATCTCACATGGTGTGGATCCCACACTCATGTGGGACATTTGATAGAAATTTTTGAGATCTCTAGCATTACTCTTGTGTGGAGTGGTTGCACAATCAATTTCCATCCGTTGAGCTACCACGTTGGATTTGACAGATCAGGTGGAGTTGCTCTAATTAACTCAATTTAGTTTGGTTTGTTTTAATAAATAACAAATTTTGAAAATTATTTTTTATATTTTTGACATTTAATATAACAAAAAAATAAAATTTAATAGAACATCTTTTCCATAATCAACCAAAAAAAAAAATGTTAATTTGGACAAAAAAGTGTTTTTTGCCTTTTATAAGTGAAAAAAAATAAATACAAACTATAATTCTAGTAATACCAACACCACACGACTATCATCGGCAGTAGGATCACTGCTATTGTGCCAACACCACAACCATACCAATACATTGCCGCAAATCACTAGCATTATTTTCAAGATACTAAGAGCATCTCCAATGGTTTGCCATTGGAGATGCCAAAGCCATTTTATAGCAGGTGTGGGCAAAAAATGTTCTTTAGTGGTAAGTTTTGGCAGCTGTTATCTTTGGCAAATGCCAAAGTTTATGTCAAATATTGCACAAGCTTTAGCAGCTGTCAAAGCTGCCAAGTCACCAAAACCAACCGTTTCCTTCCTCCCTTCCTCCATTTCTCATCCTTCCCAGCAAAACAAAGATTGGATGAAACTGCCATTTTTCTTGAAATTTTTGTAAAACCAATTTCACTACAAAATTTTTTTCCCTCTAAAATAGAAATTGTTTATATCATTTTTTTTTTTAAAAAAGAAGAAGAAATTGGGTGAAATAGCCAAACCCTTCAAAAAAAATCTAAAACATTTTACAAATAAATAAATAAATAAACATAATCAGACAACAACAACAACAATCAACCAATTTCAACAAGTAATTTCAAATAAATTTATAGAGCAATCAAGCAATTTCAACCCCATCAAACAATTTTAAACAATAAATACTTGAATCTTTGTGATCTGCGATTTGTGAAATGGGGGAGAATGATCTGCGTTCTTGGTTTCCATCTTCTTTTTCAGCTTGTTTGTGATATGCGAAGAGGGGTTTGTGACCCGAGAGAGAGAGAGGGGGTTTGTGACGTAATTTGATCTACGATCTTTAGAAAGAAACGGTGGGTTATGGAAAAGCGACAGTGGGTTATGAGAAAGAAACAGTAGGGAGAGAGACGCTACTTCACCTTCGTCATCAAAATAATAGAGAGAGAGAGAGAGACTACTTTGGGTTTCAAAAGAGAAAGAATGAGGGGTGGTGAGATTCTAGAAATGTGAGTGATAAGAGAGACCTAGTGGGGTTCTGTTCTGATAAAAGAAATGAGATAAAGATAGAGAGAGGTAGATGATTCAAGAAGTCCTGTCATTTTTATTTTGTAATGGTATGTTTTTTGGTGGGGTGAATTATATTAAAATTTTTTTTTTTAATTTTTTTAATTTTTTTTAAAATTTTTTATATTTGTCTAGTTGGGTATAATGTAAATATATAATTTTTTTTTTTACAAACAGTTGAAAAAAAGTCACAAAAGACAAAAAAATAAAAATAAAATAAAATTAAAAAACCTATATCCAAATAACACCTGCAAACTTGGAAGGAAAGTTAGCTGAAATTTGCCAAAATAGCATGTGATTATTGGAGCACTATTGCTATAATTTGGCAAAATAATACTATTCATTGCCAAATTATAGCAATAACAATGCTATTTTAGCAGACACCATTGGAGATGTTCTAAGTAAACGGAAGAAAATATTTTTTGAAAAAATATATCTATATTTTGCAACAAATGCTTATTTCATAATTTTTTACCAAAACAAATCAGAGAAGTAAAAATAAAAATTGTGTAAATATATCTCTTTTGAAAGGATCAAAAAGGAGTTTCTAGGGGTGAAAGTCATATTATATTTTTCAAAAGTGACTGAGACCACTAAAAAACACACCACTAAAAGCGCTAATGAGTTGGAAAATGTAAAAAAAAAAAATAGAAAAGACAACCATCACATCAAGGGCGAGTCACCTCATTAGTGCTCATTTTTTAGTACTCCAAAGCATTAATCTATACTTTTATAGTTGAGATAGTCAAATTGTACGATTTCATAAATAATGAGAAACTATTAATGAATATTACTTTACTCCTATCATTTATGAACTTGTATATACTCACCTTCAACTATGAAAAACATACAAATACATCATTTTTGAAGGGCTCAAAAAGGAGTTTGTATGGGTGAATGTGATACTACATTTTCATAGTTGAAAGAGTCAAATTGTACGATTTTATATAAATTATTAGTAAATATCGCCTTACATTTTTCATCTATAAATTTATATACATTAACATCCAAATTATGAAAATCATATAAATATATCACTTTTGAAGGGATCAAAAAGGAGTTCTATAAAAGTGAATATGATACTATATTTTTATAGTTGATAGAATCAAATTATATAATATCTTAAATAATAAGATAAAACGGTATTTACTAATAGTTGAGGGGTGTGAATGTAAATAACCCTAGTTTAATCATTGTTCGATTCGTTAGAACGATTTTGCTGCTAAAATCCTCTTGCTAGGGTTTATGGTCGCGGAAGACAAAAATCAGAAAGCTTTTACACTGCTCTCTGTTCCGACCCAGTGCTAATCTGCGCGGCAGAAACTACGTCTAACAATGGGGTCCAAGAACAAAAACTCTAAGAAAGATTCGAAGAACGAGTCCGCCGGGGCAACCAAGGGTGCGCAGGATAGCGGGCGCCGGCATGGGAGTGAAAAGGTAATCACGGACTCTCGTTTTGCTTCTGTACATTCCGACCCTAGGTTCGCTAAGCACTCGAAGCACAAGTCGAAGGTCACAATCGACTCTCGCTTCGATCGCGTGTTCACGGACAAGAGGTTCTCTTCGTCGTCTGCTCAAATCGACAAGAGAGGCAAGCGTAAGAAGGACTCTTCTCAGAATCCTCTCAAACATTACTACCGCCTCGAAGAAGAAGAGCAGAAAAGCAAAGAAGTAGTGAAGGATGAAGATATTGAAAGTGATGCGGAAAGCGAAGAGAGCGAGAGTGAGAGGGAGGAGCAATTGAAGAAACCAGGAGGAAAGTCATTTGATGTGGAGTTGAAAAGCAAATCAGAGGCATCGGAATCAGAAAAAGACGATGAGGATGAAGATGTACAGGATGAGGATGTAGAGAGCGATGGAGATTCTTCATCAGACACCACGGATTCAGAGGAAGAAGATGACATTGATTCAGAGGAAGACAATTTTGTACCGGTAAATTGCCAAGTCAAAATGTTTGATGCCAATTAGTGCTATAATTCAGAAGAAATTTATTTGTTTTGATGTGGAACAGGAGGAAAATGTACCAGAAATTGACAAAGAAACTCGCAGACTTGCTGTTGTTAATTTGGATTGGAGTCATGTTAAGGTGTGATGTCATTAATTTGCATTGTGTTTAAATTAATATCCGTTATGAAGTGATATATGATGATTGGAAATATTGAAGCTTCTAATTAGATTTTGATATGAAGAGCAATGGCAGTATAATGAAGTTCTAGATGTAAGCAAGCAATTCAACTATGGAACAAGATGCTTTATTTAGGCCAAGTTTGGAAACTCAAAAATAATCCATCTTTTTTTATCTTTTTATCTTTTTTTTCATCACATCACCTCTCTACTTTTCTACTTTTCTGCACATCTTTTTGTAAAAAGATAAAAAGTGCACTTATTTAGGTCATCCCAAACAACCCCTTAATAAGCCACACCTTTACATTTCACAACTTATACGTAGTGCTTACTTGTGCATTTAAGTTAACAGTTAACTAACACTGTTAAGGGTTAGGAAAGAGAAAATTTAGGAAAGGGAAAGGGGTATGCAATAGTGCAAAATAAGTGTTATTAGGATGCATTGTTTCAATCCTTACATTGCCCCACATCAGAAAAGTAAGAGCTTGACTATGTGAATATAAGTCTCTTGGGCACTCCCTCCTTGCAAGCCGGTTTTCAAGAGCAAGTTTTATTTTAGGGTTTGTATCATTTTGTATCAGAGTGAGTCACCATGTCTAGTATGAGAGTAGATGGACTGCAGCTTTGTGGATTGAGCTTAAAATTGGGCTAAAAAAGGCTGATCTGTTTAATTAGCACATTGAAATACGGGTATAGATTTTGCGTGCATGCCTTCAAATAGAAATACGTGTGGCATTTCATTTGTAATTTGTGAATTTGACCACGGGAACACTTGGGTTTTACTTGCATTTTAACAGATTCGAGAATTTGCGAATTGGAGCTCGATTCATCCACCTAATCCAACGAATGACAGATTAGGCGACCTAGGTCCACACAAAAAAAAAACAAACAAACAAAACTTTCATAGGGGCCCAAGTCTTACAAATAGAATAGACTTTCAAGGGAAGGAGGTAGGTATTCATGCTGCCAACTGAAAGGTGATGAAAAAGATTTGGACGGAAAATCTGGACTCACATCCCTCCGTTTCATCTCATCTTCCCCCCCTTTACTCACCAATCACTGTAAAGAAGCTCAAAAAACTCACTTCCTCGAACTTCTATTCCCAAATAGATGTAAGAAACCTTGGTTCCCAAACAAAACCATTTTCAGTATCTGCAAGTAGTATAATTCAAACCTAAGCAATATTATAAAGCTATGGGAAAGCTTCTGATAACGAGACATCCGTACACCACACATCAAGCCAAAACTTCACTCTCCGGCCATTACCAAAATTTGCAAGAAGAAGTCCATCCTATCCTAACCCTTTTCCAGACCAACTCCATTAGACCTTCTAACCTCCCTTGAGGTTCAATCTCCGTCCTCAATGCCATATTTATTGGCAACTGCCCTCCTTCACAAACCTTTTGCCTCTAAAGCACATCACCATAGCCATTTTCCTACCAAAGCTTTATTGAAGATCACAAAATGTCAAATGCCCAATCCACTGCCCTTCAAAGGTCCACAAAGCGAATCCCATTTCATAAGAGAGTAATTAACCAATCATACAAGCATGAGGAAATGCTGCCTTCTTAAATTGCATGGAAACCCTTTTTTTTTTTTTAAAACGAGAGTTCCTGCTAGGAATTGGACTTTTGGAAACATTCTTAAATGTTCTTGTATGTCTTGTTTCCTCGACATGCAGTAGTATTTGAACATTATTCTAGATTAAACAAAATTAACAATTAATCGGTGTAGCCTGTTACTGTCTGGTTCATTTTATACTTGAACTTTTCTTTTGGAAAGTAGACTTGTCCTAGTTTGAAGAGAAGGTCATGCCCAACTTTTGCAGTTCGACTCATATTTACAAAAAACTACTGGTGTATTTAATCAATTTTTTTTTTGGTTCACGTTATTGCTTCCTCCGCTGAAAACTATGTTTTGTTCTGTAGGCAGTTGATTTGTATGTATTATTGAGCTCATTTCTCCCTAAAGGGGGGCAGATTTTATCTGTGGTGGTCTATCCATCTGAATTTGGACTTAAGCGTATGGAAGAGGAAGCACTGCATGGTCCAGTAGGCCTATTTGATGACGATAATGAGCAAAATGGGAGTGATGATGACAATGATGATGAAATCGACGAAAAGAAATTGCGTGCATATGAAATAAGTAGGCTAAGGTAAATACTTGATGCTGTTGAAATTTTTATGCCTGATCTTAAATATATTTTAGTGTTTGCTTTGCTAGCATATTGGTGCATAACTATGAAACATGGATACTTCTAAAAAGGTGTTCTATCCGTATTGTACCCGCATTGGACACTGAAACTCTTCAGATACATATAAGAGACTTCCTAAACATATCTAATGCTTGATGTTAATATAAAAAGTATCAGATACTTTTTGGACACTCTAGGCCACATATCCAAATTATTATGAAATTGAGATTGCAATAATTTTTGCTCAGTATTAGCATATGATTGTTAGAATAAATACAATAATGGTTTTCAATTTTTTTTTTATTTTTTAATTTAATTTAATTTAATTTTTTTTTTTTAAAATTTCTTACCAAAGAAGAAAATAGTGAGATTGAAGTAGTACCTTAATTTTTCATATTTTATCAAATTAATGCATTCATGGAAAAGAAAGTAAGCAAACTATTGGCTCTTAAATTAATATCAATTGCTCAAGAATGGTTTCTAATTATTTTTTGAGTTCATGTATAATATAATACTACATGTTAAATTTTTTTCAACGTATCCTAACTGCACCTGATTCTATGTTTTTGGATATTACTGTATCAATATTGTATTGTATTTGTATCGTGTATCTATATCTATGCTTCATAGGTGTGTAAATTTGTTTTGTTGTCTTCCCCATGTGGGAAAAAGAAATTGCTATCATATGCTATTTTTGGAAGTTGATGTTATGTTGTTAGGAATAATAGAAACTAACTTATGTTAAGTCAGTTTCTTTTCTGAGTTGTCTTATAAACATATTTGATCTGCTGACTATTCATGCTTTCCATTGTTAAATTCATTTTCATGAGATGGGAGGTGAGAAGCGTAGGGAATTTTTTAAGCTTCCTTTTGGCTTGTAAGGAAAGAAAAGAAAGTGGGAAGGAAGTTATAAAAACATTATTCTCTGGCTGGCAAATATTTCCCTCTCAAATGTGAGGACTATGGAGTGAAACATTTAAATGTTTAGAATTGAATTCAGAAAGAAATGTTATTTTTCTTCTTCTTTAAAAAACAAAATTACAAAACTTAGGAAGAGGTTTTAACTTTTTAATTGTATTTTTGTATTTAATTTAAAATAAAATACATGCTTAGAAAATATTTCATCAATTGCTGTCCTTTCATTGGGCCTAAAAGGAATATGCCTCTTTACACTATTTGTGAAGCCGCTATTCATAATTCCTTTGATTTCTTTTTTGTTAACGTGCCCTGCTATGATCTTATCTTGTCTTGTCTTGAGCAACGGTCTCCATTTAAAACTTATTTTGTTCCCCTCCTCAGGTATTATTATGCTGTCGTAGAATGTGATTCAGTTGCTACAGCAGATTATCTTTACAAAACTTGTGATGGAGTTGAGTTTGAAAGATCATCCAATAAGCTGGACTTGAGGTTTATTCCAGACTCCATGGAATTTAAAAACCCCCCTCGTGATGTCGCAACAGAGGTAATCTTGACCATTAGATTATCCTAAGGAACTTGCAGTTTGAAGTGAAAATTTTTAACTTTTAATGCTCATTCTGATTCTTGAAAAATAGGATAGCTTGATTGAATAATTATTATTGATTTTGTTTCTACTTCATCAATTGAGATGAGTGAAACAAGTTGCTACTTGTATGATTGCTTCCATCCTTCAGGAAGATGTACTGGACTTCCGCTTGATTACTGGAGCATACAACTAAGGCAAAGGTTTCCAAAAAGTTGATTAATTATGTTTTCATATATTACTTTTGTGAAGAATTGGAAAACTTTATAAACAATTGCATGGAAGCCATTGTATTTTTGGCTGACCAAATGCTTGTTCTTTCTCTATTTCATGAATTTCTAATTTCTCATTTAAATTTCCTATTTTTATGAACGTCTCATCTGTCTTCCTCTCTTTAATGAATAATCAATTTCTCATTATCTGTGTATGTTAAGTTAACAATTGTCCCACCCTCTGTTTAATAAATAGTCAATTTCTCATTTAAGTCACCAATTGTCTCGAATGCTTAAGCTGTTAGGAAATGAGTCCACCAATGTATATCAAGCTATCCAACAATGTACACCAAAAACATGTCTTTCAAATACACATTCCTGACTTATTTATACATTTCTTTGGATCCCTGACTGAGTTATATAGAACTCATGTTTTATACTGTTGGATTAAGAAATCCAATCATCCTGCAAGTCGTTTCAGATTTATTATTGCAAGTAATAATTTGGCAGTTCCAAAGCTAATAGTCTAATTACATATCTTGTTTAAACAATTATACGTACAGATGTTCTTCCATTCTTCACTCAATGCCTTGGCAACTGCGAGCCTGTTCTAACTTGGATTAACATTCAAATGATTGTTTAGATTGTCATTTATTTATTTTTTCCTCAGGCCCCAACAAGCTATGAGGGTGTAGATTTCCAAACTCGAGCATTACAGCAAAGCAAAATTCATCTTACCTGGGATGAAGATGAACCACAGCGTGCAAAGACGTTAAAGAGGAAATTTAATGCTGATGAGGTTGGTGGTTTCACATATTTCTGTTTTCCTTGTTGATCCTGAATTTATTTGTTATCTGCACTGCACATGAGTGAATCAAAGTTCACATTTAATGATGACTTGGTAATTGTATGTAAATCTTATGAAAAAAAGGTCATACCTTGTACTCAAGATTCCCACTTACAACAGTGTCCCAGAGTTAGTAGGTAGGCAACTTTTCCCACCATCCCCAACAAGCCCCCCCCCCCCCCCCCTTCATGCTGATTCCCGTGACTTGACTCAAACCTGCACCCAACATAATCAGGGAGCAGATAGAACTTTCCAATGCAGGGAGCAGATAGAACTTTCCAATGCTGGCTATCTCTGTAATTTTCTTCGAGGATAGTTACATTTAAAAAAAAATGTAAATAATGACTAGAATGATAAGAAGCAACAAAAATGGATGGATAGAACAATGAGAAAAACCATGGAAAAAATGCACATTGAAATAGCCAAGCATACTTCATCTTCTGTTAATTGAAATAACTTCAAATATAGTTATACCTTTTATTTCTATTACTGATATCAATTCTGTTTCATATAGCTTGCTGAAATGGAATTTAAGGAATTTCTGGCTTCTGATGAGAGTGAAACTGATGAAGATGAAAATGATGATGCAATGGAAGATTGTCCTGAAAAGAAACATAAGAAACAAGATCTGTACCGTGCTCTACTCCAGTCTGGTGAAGAATCAGATGAAGATGAGGAGGATCATCAGGATATGGAGGTCACTTTCAATACCGGCTTAGAAGGTATAAGCAAGCGCATACTAGAAAAGAAGGACAAGAAATCAGAAACGGTTTGGGAGGCACACCTAAGGAAGAGTAAAGAGAAAAAGATGGCCAGGAAAAATAGCTCCAAGTATTCAACAGATGATGAGAGTAGTGATACCGATCAAGGACCAAAAGAAGATTTGGATGACTTTTTTGTTGAAGAACCATCAATTAAAGGAAGTAAAGAGGGACGGGGTAAAAGTGACTTGAAGGGGAAGAAGAAACATGAGGAAGCAGCTAAAGAAGCAGAAGCAAGCAAAGCGGAGCTCGAGTTATTACTGGCTGACGACAATGGAGGAGATGCCAGCTTGAAGGGATACAATCTGAAACCTAAAAAGGCCAAGGGAAAGAAGGGAAAAGAAATTCCCGACGAGGCAAAAATACCGACAGTTGATTTTGATGATCCAAGGTTTTCAGCTCTCTTCACATCGCCTCTCTATGCTTTGGACCCCACAGATCCTCAATTCAAAAGGTATATCCTACGCATTAACATAATTCATGTGGTCATAACTTATTGGCAGTTTCAATTCTGCAATGATCCCATTTTTAGTGATTCATGCAATTTGATGTTTTAAGGGTAAATTACACTGACACCCTTGAGGTTTTTATTTAATACAAGTCTCTCCACATTTGAAAGATTACATTTCCCTCCCTGAGGTTTGTAATCTCATTACAAATTATCCTCTGGATTGCTAATGTCATGTGCTAAAATTTTCTAAATGACCATCTTGCTTATTTTTCCTACCATTTCTTCTTCGTATCATCATGGCTATATTTTACAACTTTCCATCATTAAATTCTACTTGAACATATTCTTATTGAGTGATGATATACAAACATAAATTTTATATAGAATTTTCAAACACAATGATATAGCTTAATGATGATCTTTCACTTTAAAACAAAATACCCATAAACATGATTTATATTTACAACAATATCACGATCACAACATTTTTATGATATTTTTTTGTATAAATTTTTATATATGAATATAATTTTTCATTTTTATTTCTACCACTATATCACAAAATATTATACTTCTTAAGCATATTTAGATTATGTATATCTGAAAAATAAAAAATAAAAAAATTGCTTAGAATATTAAAAAAATTCAGTAAAAATAAAAATAAAAAACCCAAAAAATAAAAAAAATAATTTTTTTTTTTTTTTTGAAAAAAATATATATATATATATATATATATATTTTTTTGTGTGAGTTTAACCAAAGAAGGTGATTGTTATTTGGGAAAATTACCAATAGGTCTTATTTTTAAGACTTATTACCCATTAAGTCCTATTGATAAATTTATCATGATAAATTTATTAGTCTCTTGTTTTTATGAATAAATTTATAGTGATTAATTTATTAGTCTCTTGTTTTTATAGTGATAAATTTATCAGTTAGGACCAGTAAGTAAATAAAGCGTCCCTTGTTATTTCCCGTAAAATGACACGAGCAAAATATCTGTATTATTTTATATGTATAAAAGCTAAGGGGCAAATATGTCATTTTAATCTGATAGGGGGGTAAGTGTAATTTTTCAAATGTGAGGGGGATCTGTATTAAACAGAAACCTCAAGGGCTGTCAGTGTAATTTGCCCATGCTTTTGTCATGTGAATGTTTTTGTTATTTGTCTGCTTCAGTCATCGATAATTATTCTGAAACATGGAGGAATTGACAAATATTTGTCTAGAACTAAGAAGTACGAACATTTTTAAGAAGGTAACGTGTCGTGTCCAACACTGACCTGGCATGGCACTAATTGTACACTTCCCAACACTTGCACACATAAAACACATTACGTTTTTCAATAAAATAACATGGAATCTAATGATAAAACAAAAGTAATGTAAATTTATATTTGTTCTCCTCTGGACTTCAAAATTATTATATTGACTTGAATAGTCATATATCTGACACAATAATTATTTTCCTTTATATAACATAAAAAATATATAAAATTATACATTTTGCATGTGTCCCTCAGGTGTCATGTCCTACTTTTTTTGAAATTTTTCTTATCGGCATATCCGTGTTATGTCACGTGTTCATGTCTGTGCTTCTTAGGTCTTGAACTATTGTTTGCTTTACATAGTTCCTTTTCTTATAGAGTCATATTTATTGCTTATGGACCGAGTTTGGGTGTTGTAGGAGTGCGACCTATGCTCGACAGTTGACACAGAAGCATCGGAAGGGTGACCAAGAAGAACCCGTACCAGCTCAGTTGCCTTCTGATGACAAAAATGAGTATTCAAGATCTGATAAGTTGTCCTCAGAGAAAGATAAGTATGAGCTATCAACGCTGGTTAGGTCAATTAAGATGAAGTCCAAACAAGTTCAAATACCGTCCAAAAGTAAGCTTTCAACAAGAAGTGAAAAATTGCAATCTAAGGCCAGATAGTGAGAGAATTGCTTTCCTTTCCTCTGGGTTCAATTGGTTGCCAGAATAGGCTAGAGTTATGCTAAATTGAGATCTAGAAGATAACCTTGCTTTGTGTTTCTAAAAAGTGCAGTAAAAGAAATGGAATGAGTGTATAAAGTGACCAGGCAGTTGGCTAAGGGACTACGTGAGAAGAGCAAGAGGTATCACTATGTTTCTTGTAATTTTATTGATTTATCCTGGTGGTCTAGGTTGGATTTTTCATTTTAAGTTTAGGATCTCTCTTCTATGGCCCTAGGTCCAGATCACAATTTCTTGCCGGAAAAGCGAGGAAAATTTAGTCTCATCTGTGGTTTTATAAGAGGAGTTTTTGCAACTGACATATAGTTTTGAGTTTGTTTTCTTTGAGTTGACAAAGGCGATAATTTATGGCATAGATTCCAAGTTTTTTTTTTTTTTTTGGTATAGTTTTTTTTTGGTATAGCTTGATAATCTTGCTTGTTATTGATGTTAATGGATGCAGTGTGATTTTAGAATGTAAGAGTAGACTTTTTGAATTTTGCATCTTGTAATGAGTTGTTTACAACTGTCCAGAAGCCCAATGCTCCCCAACCCCTCCAGCGGTGTCCGGTTGGGGAAGGCGATGGTAAATGACGGGTGATGATTTAAACTTTTGCTTCATGAATGAGTTGTTTATGTCGGTGCAAGGATTTCACATTCTTTTCCTGTTTGGTTGCATAGAAAAGCAGTGAGGGGAAAGAAAATACAGAAATTGATGGTAACTTAAAAATTAATTATAAAAAAAAAAATTATTTTTGCCTCTCATATTTCTGCCGTTAGCCCTTGTCCCTTTGCTTCCTCTTCTCTCTTCCTCCTCCCTGCCCCATCTTCAACGGCCAGCACCACCGTCCTTCACCTTCCCCAATCCTTTCTCGACCACCTCCAACCTCTACTAATCTGAATTTGAATTTGTTAAAGTTGAAAATTTTAACTTCATAGATGAAGTTGGTACATTGTGAGACTAATCTGTATGAAAAATTATATACAAGTTCACTTTCTAGACTTATATTACAAACTTTATTCATCTCAGTAATTTGAACTATTCATCACATATTACAAATTGAAAAGAACATGTATGAAAAAAATTAAATTGATCAGACATAATTAATCACATGATCAAATCACATATAGATTAAATAAAAAGATGGTCTATTCTTAATAATATATATGCCATATGGATAAAAATAATATGATGACTTGACAATCGATGATGAATCAATATGATATTTTGTATTAATAATTTTCTCAGTTGATTGTATGAAATGAATGGTTTAGATCACCAAAGTAAGTCCAAATTAGTCTCATAATGAGTCAACTTCATCAGGAAGTTGAGATCATCAACTTTAGCAAATCCGAACTCTACCTAATCCCATTTTTCCACCCTCCATCTCCTTCTCTACCGTCACCCTCCAACCCTCAATCCCTCTTATCCATTCCTTGCCCCCTCTTCCAACTCAGTTCTTTTCCTCGCTTCCTTCACCATTGTGACCCTTACAAACTTCCCAGCCTTCCCTTAAACTTCTTTGCCAAGCCTTAGCCTAGCCTCCTTCCTGCCATCATCGTGATACCCTAGCCTCCTCACTAGACCACCTAGGTACCCGAGCTCTGTTACGAGATCTCAGTTTCTTCCTCATTGCAATCTCTCTATTTTCTCTCATTGTATCATCATCTCTATCATAGTGGTGGCAGTGGGGCGAGAAGCAAAAGTGGGGAAGGAACTGGGAATGGACGATGGGGGTCGAAAGAGGGTGGGTGAGGGTTGGTGGTGGCAGTGTGGAAGAGGGTTGGAGGTGGAAAGCCAGGGCGGATTGGTAGCAGCTGTTTTGGGAGTAGCCAAACTAGGCCTAAGTGAAAAAACTTCCCCCAAGTGTCTACAAGCCCTATACTCCACCAGCCCTCCAAGTTCCAAGCACCCTCCCCCCTCTTACAAATACAAATTTGTTGATTGCAAGCCACCTCCCATAGTTGACCTAAATTTGGGATACATTTTCTATTATGGTATGCATTATAAAGCAACTTGTAAAAACTAATTGAAATGTATTGTTTGATGATATATAGTAAGAAAGCAATTTCAATAGGCTAACTTAATGCTTCAACTTTCTTTTTTTGATTGAAATATGAGTGACATAAAAAAGATTATTACTGAAATAAAAATCACTGACTAGTAAAAATAACTAAAAATCATTAACTAGTATATAAGCCTCCAGATTAGCTATTCAGTTAGTTATTTTACCTTTCAAACTTTTGGTGGCTAAATTTAACTAGTCAAAATCACTAACTAAACATTAAAAAATATTTTTTTTCCCACAATCTCTCTCTCTCTCTCTTCTTTTTTTTTTCTTGAAAAGTATTAATTATTTCAAAATTATGAACTGCTTGCATTTTCTCTAAACTTTAGAAATCAGTATAATTTACCCAAAAAATAACTAAGTGTTGGAATTGCTCTAAGTAGAGAGACCTAGTAAAATACATGCTAACTAAAATAACTAGTTAAAATAAACATTGCGCTTCTTTTTTTCTTTTTACTTTTTAATGTATTTTGCTAGTAAAAATAGCTAGTTATGTTGGATTTGCTCAAAAAGCAATAGTGCAAAGAAATGACATGGTTCACCTCTGAGTAACATCAGCAAAGGGTGTGACAAACTTACCTCTGAGGAACAGCAAACATAATTATCTGTTTATTTTTTCATTAAATTCAACTGTGTTAATTAAATAGGGTCAAAATAAGGTTCATCCCCAGAGAGACAAAATTCCAATCTGAAAGACTGAAGGAGAGCATAGACATATCCCAAACAGCAGCAAAAAAAAGAGGGCTATAAATTCTCTCTTCATTATTATACAAAAGGTATGCTCATGATCAAAACCATAAATATATATATACAATGGTAGGTTCAAATTAATGCTGAAGATATACTAAAAAAAAAAATCCGTATATGAAACCACCAATATGCCTCCAATATAATGTTGTATTACACTGCAAACCAATGACAATCAACAAAATATGAGGGGGAGATGAAAATGCCTCGTGAGGAAAGAAAGACAAAACTGTGGATAAAGAGTGAAAGAATGACAACGACGTGTAGTGTACAAGTGTAAGAATTCAAGTGCGGTGAATCACTTGATGAAGGCGGCGGTGGATCAGGACTCGGAAGAGGTGAACCATTTGTAGAACTTGATGTGGCTTGTGGCTCTACAGTAGTTGTCAGAGTAACTGCACCAAAGTTTCTAGGGTTTATAGGTAAAGTGCTGGAGTTGTTAGTAAAAAAAAATATCCGTATATGAAACCACCAATATGCCTCCAATATAATGTTGTATTACACCGCAAACCAATGACAATCAACAAAATATGAGGGGGAGACGAAAATGCCTCATGAGGCAAGAATAACAAAACCGTGGATAAAGAGTGAAAGAATGACAACGGCATGTAGTGTATAAGTGTAAGAATTCAAGTGTGGTGAATCACTTGGTGAAGGCAGTGGTGAATCAGGACTCGGAAGAGGTGAACCATTTGTAAAACTTGATGTGGCTTTTAGCTCTACAGTAGTTGTCGGAGTAACTGCACTAGAGTTTCTAGGGTTTATAGGTAAAGTGCTGGAGTTGTTAGTAGGGGTGTGTGCGGTGTGGTCTGAACGGTTTGAACGTAAAATTACAAAGCGAATGGTGGATTGGCGGATTAGCGAATTAGCAAATCACGGTTTGGGCAGTTTTGAGCAGATTGGCAGATTGAAGAATATTCTAACCAATTATCAAATATTTGCATAATATATAACACTAATTTGCATGATATTATTTTTATATATATAACACAAATTAATTTTACATAATATGTTTTATATATATAATTATTAATTTGTAACAAACTTTACATCTTAAATTTCTCTCACACTCATTTTTATTTTGATATTTCATTGGAGGTTAAAAAGATATATGTATTAACTATAGCGGAATGGAACGGTTTGAAAGGCAAATTATAAATTTTAAAGTTCAATCTGCAGTTGGCGGATAGAGCGGTGCGGATTGATGCGGATCGGTGCGGTTTTAGCAGATTGGGCAGTATTTTGCACAGCCCTAGTTGTTAGCATCATAACCTGGGAAAAACAAATTATCATCATGTGAAAGCACTAAACATCATTTCGATACACAATCAAGATTCGGAGAGATGTACTCACAATTGGATGACTCCCAACCTAGAACCATCCTTTCGCAATCAAAGATGATATGGTATCCGGTCATGAAGTTTTCTGGGGAAGGATTGAAGATTAACATCTTTAGGAACATTTTCTCAATGCAAAAGCAAAATCTATCCAAAAAATAGTTTGAAAAACCGTAATCAAGTGAAGGACATTATCCATTTTGAGTTAATGGCTTGTTATTGGGCAGGTATTTAAATTAGAGTCATGCATTTGTTCTATTCCCATTCCATTTCAAATTGGGATACAGTTCACAGATAATAAAAATTACACTAATTTATGTAGTTTAAAGAAAGAAAGATTAACATGTATAAATCTACATTGTTTTTCCTTTTTATCATTACGTAAGTCTTTTTTTTACTTCCAAACTTTATAAGTGATGGATATCGGACATGTGTGTCCCTCAAGTGTCTGAACCATGTCTAGGTCTAAAGTTTTTGTTAAAAGAATAGGATATGTTTGCACATTGGTCTAACAATGTCGGGAAGTGTCCGATGAGTATCAGTGTACCATGTCGAAGAAAGACATGCCACCTTAGAAATGCCCTTACTTCTTAGATGGTCTACTATGCAAAATTTCAAACCAATTCAAAATTCTAAATTAAATGAATCTGGTTTCCATCACTTCTCCACTTTTCATCCTTGATGTTTTATATATATATATATATATATATTTATCTATACATATCATCATGGTTTTACATATCGTCTATATGGTTACGTATCGGCCATTAGGCAAAGGTATTTGGAGCCTTTGTTATGGATACGCGTAGTTGTATCGTTGGGAAAAAAAATCACAGCCGTATTGGCTGATACAGCCGATACGATTCGTATTAGTCTATATTATAGACCATTACAATCAATATTTGAACCAATACGGCCGATACAAACTTTATTTCCACTAATACGGCTAACATAGCCTTTTTAGGCATATAACATGAGATGAATCAATTGCATAAAACTGACTTTAGTTTTCTTTTGTATACGTAATATGTCTCTGTACAAAGGTTCCCAGCTCCACATTTTTGGGATCATTCAAATAAAATTTTATCTACCCAAAAAAAATGGTCTCTCACTTAAATAAAAGAACTAGAATTTCTGTAAAAGACTTTTCGTTATCTTAAATGGTCATAGAATTTCTATCAATGAAGTAAATATCTTCTTGCAAGTGAAAATGATGCTGAAATATTTTGGACCCACATCTCAT